TCGATAGGTATTTAAAGCTTAAGTATGTGAGTGCACCTGCCCATCACTGCAAGGAAGGCTTCCCTTTACCCTCCCCTCCGATTAATGTTGATCTATAGAAAAACTAAGAGAGAGCCCGGCCAGTGTGGCTCAGTGGCTAAGCATCGACCCATGCACCAAGAGGTCGCTGGTTCGATTCCGGGTAAGGGTACATGCCCAGGTTGTGGGCCAAATCCCCAGTGGGGCGCATGCAGGAGGCAGCCAATTGATGTTCTCTGTTATTGATGTTTCTAGCTCTCTTTCCCTCTCCATTTCTCTCTCAAATCAATAAAGAAAAAATATTTTTTAAATTAAGAGGTAAATGAAAGACTTTGAAAATATTTAAAGAAATATTGCTGTTTATATAGATGACCACAAAGTTTGCAGTGAGGCAGATGACATCAATTAGAAGGCTGTCATGTGAAGGTTTAGAAGGTAATGTAGATCTTTTGGTAAAAATGCCTCCCAAAAATATACTTGCATGACAAGTCTAATGGACCATTAAATAGCTATAAATAATTTGGGACAGATAAAAACAAAATACAACAAACATTAGTTTGTAACCTGTGAAAATGTTGGTTTATCATTGCTTCGATATGATTTGGAAATACTTTTTGTTGTTGCTATTCCTTATCTAAGGATATTTTTTTCCATTAATTTTTAGGGAGAGCGGGAGGGAGGGAGGGTGAGAAAGAAAGAGAAACATCAACGCGAGACATATTGACTGGCTGCCCCCGGCACATGCCCTGACCAGGGCCAGGGATTGAACCTGCAACCCAGGTACATGCCCTTGATCAGGAATCAAACCTGCGACTCACTGTTGCACGTACCGACCCTCCAACTGCTGAGCCATACTGGCAGGGCTGGAAATATTTCTTAACATGAAGCAAATTTATAAGCAATGTATACAATGTCTAATTCCTCTTTTCAAATATATCTTATATGTTAATATTTGACAGTAATGACTTTTATTCAAGAATAGTGACATGGAACTATTTAAGCAAATGATTGATGATAGTATGGATATCAGGAAGACAATCTTCAGGTACAATAAGATGATAGTCTTGATACATTAGATACCGACCATTTTGAAGATGTTTTAAAGATTTGATTCATTCATTTTACATATATTATTGGGTCACATTATGTGCATGGTGCTGAGCTAGCTGTTAGGGACACACACACACACAAAAAGCAGGATATAGCCCCTGTCCCCAGGTAAGAGTTAATTTTGTGGAAGAGGAAGTCATCAGGCAATTCCATTGTGGAGTGATAATGAGGTGTTGTGTGTGTGTGTGGGGGGGGGGGGGGGTGAGATTGCTCAGAAGAAGCCTGCTGAAGATGCCATCCATAGCCAAATAACTGCTCTGAAAAAAATCACTGGGATCTGTCCTATTTGCCACGAAGCGGTCATAAGCTGCTCTGGGCACAGCCACAGCAAAGGGCTGGGCTGCATGGAGATGTCAGCTCTGCAGCAGGACGAAGAGAAAACCTCTCTGAACCCCTCAGCCGAGCTGGCAGAGTAGCCAGGGCCAACATCACAGGCGACACCGAGATGGCTCCGTGCGGAGAGCTCCCGAGACCCAACTCTCCCGCGGTGTCTCCCAGTCACCCCCTCATTCCTTTACTCAGTCAAACATGAGTTCCATGAGGGCAATGATTTTTGTGGGGTTCGAGCTTCACGGCCTCCCCAGCTCCTAGAACAGTGCCTGATGCAAAGGAGACTGTTGGTAAACATTTATTCGGGGAGCGAATGGCTGGCTGGCTGGACTCGGATGACTGCAGGGCAGGTAACAGCGGGTGAGCGGGATACAGAAAAGGGCAGAGGACACAGCGAGGCTGGTGTGCGTGCTGAAAACCTGTGGAATCAACACCTGACATCCCACACTCATGCCTTTACACAGGCGCTTGAATCTGCAGTGACTTCTTTGTGCAACATGGACAACAAGAAAGAGCATTGGGCTTTGAAGTCAGACAGATGTGGGTTCAATCCCTGGCTCTTCCCGATCTGGGAGGATCTCAGGCAAGTTCTTTAACCGCCCTGAGTCAGCTTCCTCATCTATGAAATGAGATGCATGCCTTCTGGGTGGCTGTGATCTGAGGGTTAAACAGGAAAAAACTCTGGGCCCAGTTCCCTGAGTCCTCGCTCCATTCTCCCACCCCGAGATGGGGATGCGCTGAGCTCTGGTAGAGCTGCGGGCCGCCAACTCTCCGGAGAGCCTTCTTGGAGTGCTTCTTGGGCACTCTCGGCTCTTTCTCTTACTCTCCTCTGACTTCCAGCACGCTCCTCCACCCTCTCTACCCTCGCGAAAGTGCTCAGCAATCTCTGCCCCCTCCTCACCCTTCCAGCCCTTACTTTCTGCTCCGTCACCAAACTATTAACTGGAGTAGATGCCTTTTCCTCCCTCACGTGGTGCCTAGTAGCTGGTACAGTGCCTTGATTCTGGCAAACGCTTAATAAATGCTACTCGGGATGACCCTCGCTTCCTATCCTCACTGCACTCAGGTCGCAAAAGTTGTTTCACACAGGCTGACGTCCCACTGCGTGAAACTGCGCTATTACACAGTGAGTCACGGGTCATTAGAACAATTCTCAAGAAGTCAATAAAATTGATGGTCAGAACTCCCACACCTATTTTCAAAAACAAATAGTATTTTTTGGCGTTAGGAAATGCAACAGAAACCCTAACAAGCAAACAGAATCCGCTTGGAGGATTGCCCATGTGCATTACGAGGACGGAAATGAGTGGAATTCTGTATAATCCATGTTTGCTGGTCAGAGGGAACACTTGGAGGCTCATTCTTGGTTTCTCCAGGTATCTTACTCTCCACATCATGAAGCCACAGGAATGCCAGATTCAATTCCTACAATCAGCATTGACTAATGCACCCACTAGAAGGCAAATCTAGTCAGGAGGACTGGATCACTCAGAAAATTGGTCATCTCCAGACACAGTGATATCTGTTTACTATACCATGAATCGGGTTATTGTCAGCTAATCTAATTTGGTCCTTTAGACGTTCAAGATGATAGTCATCCCTGAGCCAGGTGATGTAGTCAAAAAGATTACAGATTAACAATATTGCTAGAGGTCCACTCTATGCTGAGCAAAATCCTAGGAGATAGGGTGAATATAAAAGAATTAAAATGACACTTCTTTCAAAAAACATACAACCTAGATGGACAGGTGGAGACTGCTGATGGAGAACGAGCTGAGGATCACTAAGGCAGTGGTTCTCAGGGGGCCTGCCCAGCAGCAGCCCCAGCGTCCCCTGGGAGCTGACCCCAGACATCCTGCATCATAAACTGCACGGGCCCAGCAATCTGTGTTTCACAAGCCCTTCACACCATTTCCATGCACACTGCAGTTTAAGAAACACTGCTCTGCGCCTAATAAGCAAATGCAGGCCAACATGAAACCCACAGATCACCCACGTGCTGAGTGATGGTCAGGCGAAGAGCTTCCTAATGACCCGCTGGGGGTCCAGACCCAAAGTGAAAAACAGTTTAGCACAGAGTCCATTCTTGATTGTCTCCATTACCTCGTTGGAATGATTAGTGGCAGCTTCACTCAATTCCAGACTAATTCCCCCAGTTCAGCCAAAACACTTTCAGACTACATTTATAAAATAAGCTAAATCAGCCTCAGAATGGTTTGTAATAGATAAAGCCAAATGCCAAAGACTTCCACTGCTTCCTTTCACTAACAAGTATAACCAAGAGTTGCCAACTAGGACAGGTCGCAAGAAGGTAAAATCATATGAAGTCCAGTCCAAGCCTCTTCCCCAACTCGTCCTAGCACGGGGCAGTTTGGGAGCACTGTGGACACAGCTAGTACGATCACATGGGGAGGACAGCACTGGACAGCCAGGTCCCCTACAGACCCTTTTTTCCTAATTGCTCACCTGAGGCCTTTTGGGGGCCTGTCAATCAGGCTAAGGCTTATTGTGTTTTGAACTTCACTTTCTGCCATGAGATCATTTTTTCCCAGAATTGTAGCTCCACATTTCTGACCTTGGACTGCTAACCTGACCCTAATTCCTGATAACTTCTTTCTTTGATTAGTTGTTCTTGAATCTGGACTCCAATCTGACTATGATTAACACACACACACACACACACACACACACACACACGGCAGGTACCTATTCCTCTGACGCACAGGCACAGAAAGCTAGAGGTCTATCCTTTTATTACAAATGCCCTGAAGAGGGAGAATCTGTAAACCCTCTAGAAATGGTTTTCTTGGAGTATTTCTATCTATCATCATAAAGCTAATCATTGTCTCCTCTTTGTTAATTTACTCAGCAGTGTTTACCGTAGCTGAATTTTTTATTATGTGGGTTCACAGAGATCATTTAATTCAACTTAACACATAAGAAAATACATACTCTGTAAGGATAACATGCTAGGCCTTGAAGTGGTGGCCCCACTGCACTCAGGGAACGCCACAGAGTAATGGCCCCAACGATGTCCACGTCCTAACCCCAGAAACCTGTGAATATATGACGTCACAGGGGAAAAGGGAGATTGCAGATGTGGTTAAATGAAGGCTCTTAAGATGCAGAGATGTTCCCGGATTATCTGCATGGGCCCAGTGCAATCACAAGGACCCTTACAAGGGAGAGGCAGGAGGGGCAAGGTATGGGAAAGAGGTGATAAGGAAGAGGCCAGAGAGACAGAGGGATCTAGATCCCAAGATGCTCCGTCGCTGGCTGGGAGGATGGAGGAAGAGGCCATGAGCCACGGAAGGCAGGTGGCCTGTAGAAGCCTGAATAGGTACGGGAACCAATCTCCCCCTAAATCCTCCAGAAGCAATGCCAAGGCCTTCCTACCTCCACGACTGCAAAATCACGCACTGATGTTGTTCTAAGCCCCTCCGTTTGTGATGTGTTACAGCAACAAGTCTGGTCAGAGAGAGAAGACGGCCCAAGCAACTTTGACATAATTCGGAAAGTGATGAGTATAAAATAGAAACACAAAGTAACTGCTGTGGAGATGTTGATGATGTGAGTATGTCTGGCTGGAGAGATTAGGGAAGCCTCCAGAGGAGGGGCCCTCCGGGGCTGGGAAGATGTTACAGGGAGAGACTTGGGAGACAGCAGCAGTGAAGCAGAGCAGGGAGGTTCAGAATCAAACGAAAAGCTGACCGTGCGCTTGTGACCAGCCATTTACTCAGAAACAGAAATCGCTTGATTAAAATCTGATACATCCTACTCAGGATATAATACATCTCTAAGTTTGTAAGAAAGAACTTGTAACAACAGTCAACAGCTATACTATATGTGATAAACTCCCCTGAGTTTAAGTACAGAATACAGATCTTGGCAAGAACTCCTCTCTACATAGAACATGTCACAGCCCAGGGTGAACCTGGCGCATTGCAGACAGGCAAGCTTGATAGGGATGAACAGAAAAGTACTACGGGTCAATCAAAGTAAATGAAAAGGCAGTTCTTTAAAGGACATCTATTAATATTGATCAACTAGACATTTCCTGCAACCTTCGCAAGCAAGCTACACCAAACAATGGAATCCAACTAAACGTACTCAGCGGGCTGAAGGCTCTGAGGACTCAGATGGAAGCTGATGAAGACACTGGAATCCAATCTCTGTTTGGTAGGTTTTGATTGTCTGAAGTCAGAGACCATGCTCTTAAGTAACCACAACTGGCTCTAATTACCTAGGTTTTATCACAAGGCAGTTACCTGATAAAACACACTTTTAAGCCCGTTTTGTCAGCTGGAGGGTAATGAATGGGTTTGTGGATCTGCATTCCCAAGGTCACCATCGATCGTCCTCTTGGCATTACTTACAAAGACCACGGCTGCCCATGATGGTACCTGTACTCAGGCGCTTTGGTGATACTTGCCATCTTCTTTATCTTCTGGTAAAATGGATTCCTTTTTGTGCTCTTCACATTCATTCCAGGAAAACGCACTGGAACAGCCCGTCTCCACCGGCCTGCTCCTGTAAGAATGGCCGGGAGCCTCTGCAGAAGGCTCCACAGTCACACCAGAGGCCCTGGAGTCCTGGGCTGGAGCTGCGAGCTTCGGAGACCAGCGCTCTTCACGGGGGGAGCTGGGCGCACGGCAAGCGTCCTCGTTTCCCTCGCTCCCCGCCTTTCCACCAAAGCCCAGAAATGTAACCTCAGACTGGCTGCACTCAAAGGGAATTTTCTGAGTCAGTCTCTCTTTTCTCAGATGTTTATCATGAAGCAGTGAGTGATTACTCTGCCTTTCGTCATCTTCCATGGGGATGCTTGGCACATTTTCCAAGAACGGAGGAGGAGGACAGCTGAAGGACTTGAGTGAGGTGGGAGGGTCGTCCGCAAAATACAAGCTGGCTTGAGTACTTTCTAGGATAGGCAGAACCTAATTAACCAGGAAGCAGACAAACATTGAGTTACGCTTGAATAACCTTTCCTTTTACTTTTTTCCTGTCTACCTATTAAGGAATGTGCTCTTATCTTCATGATATCAGTTCTACTATAGACTTTTGAATGGGAAGGTATTAAAGATTAGCTAAGGATGAAAGAGACTGCATTGAATTGACTATCAAAAGACCTGACCGTAAGCCTAGATTTTCCACCACTACTTTGTGACCTTGGGTGATTCTCTTATCATTTTTTATTTCAACCTTAATATGTGGAAAATTGGAAGGGTTCGGGGAATGGTGAACCCAATCCATAGTTCTCAAGTGCCAGATTTACGTAGGGGAGAGTTCATAAAATATAGATCCCTATTCCCACCCTAAGAGAGTCATTCAAAAAATATGTAGATGGGGCCCAGGGAATCTGTATTCTTAAAGCTTCTCAGCTTATTTGGGTGTGTAGCCCCAACTGAGAACCATTGTCCTGTTATAAAACAACATAGAACACACCTTCTCTCACACACATAATTTCAAAAAAAATACATATAGAGCTTCATGGTTTACAAGATGCTTTCACACACATCACCTCATTTAACCTACACGAACAACACTAGCATTCTCATTTTATAGAGAACAAAGCTGAGGCTCAGCAAAGGGAATCCATCAATATCACTCGTCAGTAAGGAGCAGATCTCTGGCTCCCAACCCCATGGTCCCTCCTCCGTATACCTCATAGCCCCTTTCTAGACTCAAGATTCCAGGTCACACAGCTCTCACTGGTGGTGGCAGGCTTAGAATGCAGCTCTCCTGGCTCCCAGGCCAGTGCGTCTTACATTCTGATGATGCCAACTCTTTATTTAAAACCCTTCCATTGCTCTACAATAGATTCAGGATAAAACCCAAACTCCTAGCATGGAATTCATGTCCCTCTGTACCTGGAACCCTCTTTTATAACCACTGCAGCTTTTCCTTCACCACCATCCCACTTCCAGGACACAGAACTACCTGAGGTCTTAGCAACATGAAATCCACACGCGCTGAGCCTTTGCAGGTATATATTCTCTCTGCCTGGAAAGTCCTTCATCCTTCAGCACCTAAATCCAACCTGTTCTTCAGGTCATAACTCAGTTGTCTCCCCCATCGAGAAGCTTCCTTGACTTCCATCGGCTAGAGTATATTCTAATTCTGTGCTCCCAAATACCATGATGCTCATCTCTCTGTACTGAAATTCCATGTTTACTGATGTGCCTCTCCCTGGGGACTGGGGGCCTGAGGGCAGCCACTGTGTCTTGATCACTGCTGTGTCCCCAGCATCCAGCACAAATCTGGCGCATGCAAAGTGGGCACTAAATAATATTTGTTTATTGTAAACAAATAAATGAATGAATGATTAAATCGATGGACAGATAAATACATAAAAAAATAATAAGGGAAATACATACAGCATTTTTAGTGGGAAGATCTCTTAATGAAGGTTGAATAAAATATTCTCTCCAAATTACTCACTATGTCTCTTCATTAAAATATCTGTGGCGCCCTGGCTCCACCCAGTAATGACCTCTACCAGAATACCAGATGATGCCGCTTTTTGACCTGGAAAAGCTATCTATTATGTTAGAATTCTCTTTGGGGGACTGGATTTGTCTCATTAATAAAGAAGTTACTTAGATCCACCATTTATCCAAGTTAGATTTTCCATGGTTCTATGGGCTTGGTTTTTAATAAAACTGTGTGTATACATACTTCATCCATTGATGGTCTTAGTTTCGCCCGTGTTGCCGCACACTGGCCTGCCAAGGAGAAGAGCTTGGCAGAGAAATTCCGAGGACAGGGAATCACTTTCTTATCTAGAAACGAGAGACATGAATCGAGGCCTCTCTTCTCCATCAGCTCCATAAGGTGATCCCTCTAGGAAGAGAAGACAACCTCACTTAGAACTCGGTCAGAAAAATGACCAAGGTGCAGAGAGAAGGACAAGTCTTACCAGCTGAATATGCTTTCGCTCATCTAAGACCACTTTACAACCTGTCAGAACTTCCATTATCACCTGCAGAGAACATATTAGCAAGTCAGCTACAGACGTTAAGTGCACACACAAAATCAGTTGCGACTATTAACCTTAACAATGAATGTAGTTCATTCCAATGAATGAATTTACTATTTTATTACTGATTGATTACACAAAATTAATGTATAAGATAAAGAGTCACAGAAAATCACGGATCTAAAAGTTAAAGCGTGTTTTATTTTAATTGAATGTATTGGGTGACATTGGTTAATAAAAACCATACAGGTTTCAACTGGACAACTCAACGTAGAGCCTTCTTGGTACTCACGATGCCAAAGCTGTAGACGTCTGTTTTAGTGGACAGTTTGCCCTGCCTGACATACTCTTCCGGCATGTACCACAAATGTGTACCGCTGCTGCTGCTCATGCTTATGGTGCAGCTCCGCTGCTCCAGGTGGGGTCGGAAGTGTGCCATGGCAAAGTCGGTGAGTTTGGGTTGAAACTGATCGTCCAAAAGTATGTTGGCACTAAAAGTAGGAGCAAGGACAAACCAGACAAAAACATCGTAAAGACATTTTGGTGAAGAACCGAATGACAAGCTCACCTTCGTATTGGGTTAATTCCAAACATGGACAAAACAGAGCCACCTGTAATTTTCCATGAACGAGAGGACAGGTTCTCATTTCTCTTCAAGTATACATCCAAGTGTTCTATAAAACCTAAAACACTTGACCGAGGAACAGCGGGCATTTGGAATTCACAGCTACCTACGTGGCGTTGGTGGACAGAGCTGATGCTTCGACAAGAAGTGACACCAAAGTGAACCAAAGCTGCTTTCCATGAGCTGGTCTTGCACGGATGAGCCTATTACCCGGGTCTTCCTCAGATAACGCGTGTCATGTGCGTGGGGCTCTGCTCTGGAATGTCTGCCTAGAGCCATCAGCCTGGGTGCTTGGAGGGATCCACAGTAGCCCCTGCCTTAAGGATAAACCCTATGGCCCTCCTCCATGGCTTTCCTTTCTTTGAATCTTACTTAAAATATAACCACCTACAGAGGCAAAGGCAAAGTGCTTGGAGTCCATTTGAACTGTTTGTCACTTAAAAAACTTTTTTTTATCCTCACCCGAGGACATGTTTCCATTTTTGTTCAGATAGAATGGGAGAAAGAGAGGGAGGAAGAGAGAGAAAAAAACATCGACGTGAAAGGGATACATCGAGTAGTTGCCTCCCGCATGACCCCAACCAGGGCCGGGGACAAATCACAACCAAGGTACGTGTTCTTGACCAGATCTGAACCCGAGACTCATTGGTCCGCGGGCCAATACTCTAACCGCTGAGCCAAACCGGCCAGGGAAAAACCCTTAATAATCGCTTACCATCTTGGCTGAGAGTGAGCATTCGCTTACTTGACCTGCGGAGGGCTGCCCTGTGGCAGGGTGGGAGAAGATAAGCCGGGGGGAGATGCATTTCACGTGGCCCAGCCCTCACCCGTGGCTGCTGGCAGGTTGCTTCACCCCGGAACCCTCAGCATCATCCTTCCTCACAACTGAAATGAGGAAAACCACAGGACCCACAGACGCATGCAGGCCCACGAATAGCCCGCTGCTCGGCATGTGGGGGTGCCCAGTACACAGTGGCTAAGATGACTAGTCACTCCTCACGAGAGCAGACGGACATGAATAAAAGAGGTGGGTGGCCTAAGAGGAAGTTACCTACTTTTCAACTTCGTTTAGGGCTTGGTGCTTGTCCCCTGAAACCAAAGCTAGTAATAAAAACCCTGGCCGTCCAAAATGCCACATGCTGACAGCTACCGGATAAAAATAAGAAACTCTTACTCCTGAACAAGTGCTGGATCTTGCGAAAGTCCCAGAAGTCCTTGCTGTCCCTGGACAAGTAGGCTGACAGGCAGACCCTAGTTCCACAGGTCTGAATTGCAGGCATTACTATGATTCAGAATATTCAGCGTCCTGGCTCAAACACAGGATTTGAAACTAAAGCCTCAGGAATTCTAATCCAGACTTTGCCTAGGACTGAGTTGACAACAGACACAATGAAGGGGCTTCCAGAACCAGAAAGACATGCCTTAAACTTCATTTCATTCTCCCTCCTCTAAAGGGGGCAGGACAATCGCAGAAGCGGACGAGCCCCCTCTGCATAAGCCGTGGGGCCCTTACCCGTGCGTGATCCTTGCATGATCAGCTTGCTTCAGGGAGGAGACTGGTATCGTAAGCACATCCTCACTGTTCCCCCTGCCTTGACTTTCCTCTCCAGAATTTTCTAACCTGGCAGCTTCTAAGATCAGCCTGGGTCTCCCACATCTGCCACTCCTCACCCACTCCCTGGTTTTCTCACTTGGAAAACAGTAGTAACTATCCTGACATACTTCTGAAGACAAGGAATATGCTAGAGCCAGATCCCACCTTCTCCCCAGCTCTCGGTAAGAGCAGACATTTAGTTCATAATTACTTCTTCCGTATGTGTACACTTCACTTCTGCACAAGGCGAGGGCCTCTGGCGATGCCCTGATCATTCCTGAGTGTCGGGGCATTTAATGCAGGAGTTTCCGGATGTGCCAGGAGGTGAGGTGGGCAGAGAGGTTTGTTAGCTCTCATTACCAGGACCAGCCTTCCACCCCGTCAGCCTCTGCCAACCTGGAAGCGTGGCTCTGGACGCACCCGCCCCACTTCATGTCAGCCTGGGAGGAGCACCGCACAGCTCTGAATGCCAGACTTTCATTGCCAAACATCTAGCCCTGTTCTCCCTCCACCCTAGCTCTAAAGAGGGTACGAAATCATCACTTGAAATGCTAGAACCATGAGAATACAAAAAGCTGAATCTGTAGAACACTCAGACTCCCTGAAGAATAAGTTTTTCCTAAGGACAAAAGAAAAAAACAGCAACAACAACAACAAAAACCCATAACCTATTTATTTGACCCTCAGCAAAACTGGTGGGAAGCTTCCAGCAACTGCTGAAGCGGTTTCTGTAAGAGGTGAGCGGGGGCCGCGGTGCATTACAGAGCAACACCCACGGAGGACTGGGGGTCAGCGAGAGGCCATCAATAAGAACGCAACATTTTTCTAGGGCACTGCGTTTACACTTTGAATAATGACATCTGGTGAAAAGATGAGTTGTGTACCAGCAGACCTTAGATTTTGAGTCCAGTGGTTTACTCGGTTCTAAATAAAGGTTAACGGTCGCCGAGGAAGAAGGATGCTCTGTTTGAGGAAAGGGGGAATTGGAAAAGGCCCTTCAACAATCCATTCTGCCCTGATCCTTCCCCCTGCGTCCACCTGAAGTAGACTGTTCAAACATAAAGTGCCTTCAGCTACCATGTAGGTCAACTGAATTCGTTCATCCTACGGGCGTAAAGCAGACTAATAGAATAAAGGCAACATAAATAACTAAAATCATGTAACAATACAGTTCAAATAAAAGGGCAGCTTGCTAGCCATGGTGCCCACCAAAAACACAGAGGAGACGCATCAAGGGCCCACACACTTCATTCAGTGTTTCTACGACCTATGTCTTCTTTCCCACAAGACTGCTTACTGTGACCCAGAGACCTCTCTAGATCATTCTTCTAGCAGGAGATCAGTGGTAGGGTCACGAAGGAGATGGGGAAAGTCCTACACAGGGTGGTGATTTATATCCTCACTCGGGAATATTAATCTCCCTCTTGCTAAGAGGAAGCACAATTCTTTTGGGTGGGGACTGAATCCCCCCAAAGGCTATCAGAATTGCTTCCTTTGCTCACCAGTTTGTCTCCTGATTTAGTTAAAGTCTGTGGGCTTGAAATATAAAGCAAGATGCTACACCTAGATTATAATGCAGGATTTGAACATAAGTACAAATACCATGTTTGACATGTAGGCGCAGGATTGGTTCTTAAAAGACATATTTATTTTTATAGGATTTTACAGGGCATTATTTGTGCCCACTAGACCAGTCCCCGAGTGCCTGGCAACTCTCAGGAGAAGTCCAGGCTCCACCCATTTGGCCCCAGAGATCAAGAGGACCCGCACGGCCTCCCATTGACAGCCTGAGGCAACAGGACATCTTGTTGTCTGTGTTACTGCTGTTGCAACACAAGGATAGCCTTCACCAGATGAGACAAGACCCAGTTTCTCGGGGCAAATGCAGATTACAGAACAGGGCACACACACCCCACTCCCGCCCCCGCCCCCCTGCAGCATGCGGTAGATCTGGCTGAAAATGATACGAACTGAAACCGTTACGCCACCCCTTGGATGAAGCAGCTGTTTCTCTCCCCGTGAACCCAGGCAGGACCAGAGACCGCACTAGAGCTTGTTTTTGCTTTGATGGGCACCTTTCGAGTCCTAGGCTCCCTGTGTAAAGGCCCAGTAGATACAGGGCCTTCCTCCTGTAGGTGTGAAATGTCATCTCCAATCAACTTCCCTGAGCCTCAGTTTCCCTGTAGGCAAACAGATCTGATAAGGCTTAACTCAAGGGTTGGTACGAGGATTGAATGAGAAAACATAAGCAGAGTGCCTGATGTCCAGGGAAAGCCTAGAAAGGTGCTTTGAAGGATGTAGGCTGACCACTGTCCATTCCACACGCACCACCTTACCTTAAAGTCCCACAGACCTTGGCTGGGTATCTCTAGTTCAAGGACACCAATTTGCAATAACAAAGGTACAGGGGGTTGCAGGATGACCCTGGAGCTCAGAGGGCCCTTCGAGTAACTAGTTTCAAGGCATTGGCTGAGTTTCAGAACAGTTCCCAAGAAGTTCTGGAAGAACCTGACTAAATTAACATTTCCAGGTATTTTTAAGATCATGGAGAGATAAAATATATAGATATTATTTGGTCCATATGTGTGCATACATGTATATCCATGTGGTGTGTCAATAAATAAATGTGGGGGGTTAGAGTCAGTTATGGTAAATAGAATACATAGGGGAATTTTTATCTTATGTAATAAAATTGGTATCCCTTAGGGGGAAAAAACATATTTAGATATCTTACAAGAAAGGAGGCTCTATAGGAAATAGGAGAGTCAGAGGAAAAAGAGTTGTTTATATCTAAAATGCTTCTGATACACAATGGAGTACTATGCAGGTGTAAGAAAGAAAGATCTCTTATCCTTTGAGACAACATGGAGGGACCTGGAGAGTATTATCCTAAGTGAAACAAGCCAGTCAGAGAAAGACAAATACCACATGATCTCACTTATTTGTGGAATATAATGAACAAAATAAGCTCATGAACAAAATAGACCCAGAGACATAGAAAGGAATACGGTTCAGACTGACAGACCTCAGAGTAGGGGGCAGGGGGGATGGATGAGATAAACCAAAGAACTTACATGCATGTACATGTAACCAAAGGACATAGACAACAATGCTGCGGAGGGGGCCCAGGGTGGGGAGGAGGGTGTCTGGGGGGTGGGGGGGAGAAACATCTATAACAAAAATAAATTAATAAAAATTGAAAAAAATAAAATGCTTCTGAAAAACAAAAGTAGATTTTTGGAGGGGAGGAGACCGATTAACTAAGCAAACAA